TTTTTTTTTTTTTTTGGCCCTTCTTGGGTTTCTCCGACATATTTTTTCATGAGTGCCGAGATTTTCACGACTGTCTCTTCCACTTGGGTGAAACGGGGGAGAAGGGAAATAATAATAACAGCAATAATAAAAATCAAAAAGCAGCTTGATGTGGGCAAAAGAAGAAAACAAGAGAATGGGGTAGAGAACAGGCTAAATTTAAAATTGTAATTGGCTGACTTCCACAGGCTTGCGGGTGTTTTAATGACTCATAATAACTTCATTTAAAACCAGCTGAGCAGAAAATAGATTGGAGAGGAGCCTCAGGCCATTATGGATTTGTTTTTTTTTGACAAGCTCTGTTTTCGGCAGCCAGGAAGGCACTCGCAGAGGGCTCGGCTGCTTCGCTCTCCCGAGAGCAGACACTAGAATTAGACAAGGAATCAAACAGTTTTTGATAGAAAATCTCATAGACCATTTCCAGGTATTTCTCCCCCCACCCCCCCCTTTTTTTTTTTTCCCCTGATTAAAAATAGATGCCTTGAGGTATTATTTTAGCATCACTGTGGTTTGGTGCTTTTTTTTCTTTGCACTTTTGATGTGGTAAATGGAACATAAATAAAATTGTTTTTGAAATTACTGAATTAATTAGGTAGTAAAGCGACGACAGTGCATAAATTTACTTGGCAATTTTTCTTTAATCCATATTTCCCCCCCCCTCCACCTTCTTGCCAATTACGGCCTGTTAATAATATAGAATCCCAAATTTTTATTAATCCCCTGTGCTGGGGGAGGGAGGGGAATAGATGGAGCATCGTACCGGCGGGGCCGTCGTGCCGAAACCGCGGTGGGGAAGGGCCGGGGCGTTGCTGCCGCTGGCCCGTCCTCCCCCACCGCCCTTCCTCCCCGCGCGGCCGCGGGAAACCGCCGATTGCCCATCCTTCTCCCCCTCTACCCATCCTCCTCCTCCGGAGGATGCTCGCGGCTCCTCTTTTTCCTTTTCCCTTATTTTTTCCTGGGCTACAGTTTGTATTTTCGGAGCACCTCTCCCCGCAGCCTCCTGGCCCCCAGCCCCATGGACGTTTGTCTCCTAAACCGGGGAACGGGGACACGGGCGCGGGGAAACGGTGGTTTAGCCAACGGTGAAATCGGTTGGGAAGGGGAGGGAGGCGTCTGCTGCGCCTGCCCCCTCCGCCGCGCTCCTCTGCGGGGAGAGGGGTGGGAAACCGGAGCCGTCGAGCGGCCGAGGGGCGGGCGCCCCGC